TCACCCATACTTCCTTCTGTTGGGAATAATACTCTACCCCCTTATTATGACACTAGCTTCAAGTCTGTGCTTATATGTTACCACTTCGTTGGAGAACGGAAGCTCTTCCTAAACCTCTTTCTGTTATTTTCCTTCATGGTAGAACTTAAATAATTATTTGTGTAAGTATAGGTTTAACATTAGACTCCCTTCGAGCTGTCCACACCTGGGCACCAGCTTCTTATAACTCTATCTCATGATCATGTTATATCTTCCTACCACAGACACACAAAAATTATTTCTTGGATGAATGATTGCAAAATCCTGTGCTCTGTAGATACTGATGCCACAAACCACCTAATCCTAGGTGTAAAAATGTAAGTTTTAGCCAGCACTGGCTCTCTGTATTTTGATTTGTTTCAGGGACCATGTCAACCTATGTAATTACCCAAGTGCATCAAGAAAGTCATTGGCTTTACCTGCAGAGAGAACATGGGCAATGAGCTCAGAGCCTGCTGGGACCGTGTTCTTGTCAAAAGCTTTCATTAGCAACTTAGAGAAGGATGTTGGTGCACTGTCAATCAGACTGATGGGAAGCTGAAGGGGCTGCTTGGGTACAAGGTAACATAATCAGAATCCAAAAGGATCTCACACCACAGATGAGAAAGAGTATCAGAAAACAGTATACATTTAATTTAAAAAATTAGAGAGAATGCTGGGATCCCCCCAGTGCAATTGAAGTGGACACAACATGAGAACTCTTAAAGTCAGCGAACAGGTGAACAGCATGGAGAGTCTAATTCACTGGGTGAGTCAACAGCATGGCGTGCTTGCCAGGGACATTGATTTGCTGTTTGACTCCTTTAGTAGAAAGAATGTGTCAATATACCTGTTGAAGTCACACCACTTCCCTGGGCAGACCACTCAGAAGCTGATGTGCAGGGAGATGACAAGGGCTGAGTTGTTGCAGGGATTCCAAACTATGTAATGTGAGAAGCAATTGAAGGGCTGACAATTCCTAGTTAAGAAGAGTGGGATTTGGGAGAATATAACAGGAATGAGAATACCGAGTGCAAGCCAGGACCACTAGATCTGTTCCCATTTGGCATAAAAGGTAGACTTGGGACAACAGGAAAATTCCGGGGAAGTAGATCTCAATGGAACTCGAGGAGCTGTCCAGCAGGGGAATGTGTTGGGATTGGGCTGTGCAGAGCTCCCCCTCACTAAAGTGAAGTTCCATGAAGACAAGAAAGGAGAGATGAGCATTGGGAAGCTGTGATTTTATAAAGGAAGGCCATATTAGAATAGTAGGGAGTTCTTGGTTCTTATGCAGCTCCAAAAGCTGATATAACTTGGACCTCAGTATGTTTGGGATGCCACATCTGATATAAATGACCAGTTAGAGTAGTTATTTGTAAAGGTCTCATGTACTATGTCTAGAAGTTACATCTCTTCATGTTCGCCAAATGTGCCAACTTTAGAAAAATGGAATGGAGACTGAACGGCCACTTATTAAGGAGGGAATTCATGCACTGGTTAAAACTGGAAAGGCTCATCATTGAGGTTCTGTTATTTTAGTAGAAGATGAAAGCATTTTGTGATTAAGGAGAATTTGATAAACTTGGAAAAGGCATAATGAGCCATCACCATCTTGGAAGAAATACAAAGGGAAATTAGAATGATGAGTATGATCCATAAACCTGTTTCCCTTAAATAAGTAGCTACTAAGTAGGCAAGTACCCTAACCTAGAGGATAGCCCATGCCATTGGCCACAAGGGCCACTAGTAAATTCTTATCCTTAGAAGAACAAAGAGGAAGTGAGTGTATTTGAGCTAAGCTCCCTTATTCTGGAATTTTAATTGACTCTACATGATGGAGCATATTTTCTTTGAAGAAACTCATAAAATGTACCTGAACATGAATTAAAATTATTCTTTGGTTCACTGTTTCTTTCCTTGATTTCAGCAAAAACTTACCTTCAGGCTAACGAAAGCATAGAGATGAGATGGTCCATCAACTGTGTGTCAGAGATTAAAGTGGAAAGGATCTGGTAAGAAGTTTAGCCCAGAGTAGAAATATTTGGTGGTATCTATCACTAAAGGAAGCAGTTTTCACATAACAAAGCCTTTCAGTCTCTTTCATGAAGTGATAAATTCTTGGATTAAAAGATTGCATTTTACAAAAGAGATTTCATTTCACACTAGAATTTGATATTGCCTTATAAGCATATGGTCATGGAAATTGAAAAACCGACTTAAATTGGAAACAGGGGTATTTTTAAAAATTGGATTTGGGCTTCACATTTATTAACTGCATGATTATGGGCAAATGATATAGTCTACTTGTGCCTAAATTTCATTTTCTTTAAGATGAGTATAATAATGCTTACTTTGCATGACTCTCCAGAGACTGAGATATGAAAATATATTTAAAGTCTCTACACAGCAAAAAACAAAACTAGTCTTCAGTTGACAGGAGCCACTGATAGGGTGGTGGCCAAGCCACTGTCATCGCAGAGTGCACAGCTATGGCTACCTGGAGCAGCAGTTGGGGTCCACAGGTTAAACAGCATTAGCTTTGGCGAGTATTATGTTGTATGTGAAATATCCCCCACAGGTTAATGTGTTTGAACACCCGGTCCCCAACTGGTGGCTCTGTTTTGGGAGGCTAGGAAACTTTTAGAATGCTGCTAGGTGGGTTACTGTGGGTGACTCTTGATAAATTCAGGCCTCCTGCCTTCCTGATTGGCCCAGGTGTGAGGAGCAGCCTCAAGGTCCGCCCACATGTAGGTCACCAGTGGCTCTGCTGTACCTTGCCAGCTATGGTAGACTGTATTTCTTGAAACTGAATCAAAACAACTTCTTCCTACCTTTCATTACTCTTGTTATGTGTTTCATCACAAAGACAAAGAAGTAACTAATAGAAGGGGCTAGAGTAAGATTCCCATCAACTTCAGGTTTTCCTGCTGGGTGGGGGGCAGTGTATAATGCCAGTTACATTTTTGATCAACTTCTTCATTATATAAGGGAAATAATGTTAATTTAAAAATTTCCTTGAATTCAGGACTAGAGAGATGGCTCAGCAGTTAAGAGCACTGGCTGTTCTTGCAGGGGACCTGGGTTCTGTTCCTAGCACCCAAGTGATGGCTAACAACCATCTGTAACTCCAGTTCCAGGGGATCCAATGCCTTGTCTTGACCTCTGTGGGCATTGCATGCATGTGATACACTCACACACATGCAGGCTAAATACATATCCACATAAAAATTTAAAAATTAAAAATAAATTTAAAAATAATTTCTATTTAAAAAATCCTTGAATTAGTGGTTTCCTGATTAAATTTCATTTAAAATTGGGGACTATGAATGAATATGAGTTATATTTGTCAAAGGTTTATGTTACCTTGGAACAATCTTGGGCATTACTCCAGTCAGGGTCCAGGTGCCATTTAGTACCAGCTTGCTTCTCTGCTAAGACATGGCCACAGTATGGTGGCCAGGGTACAGTTCAGTGTCCCCATCTACTCACTTACCACTTGTTCACCAGTTTCCTGAGAGAGTTAATGTTGTCCAAGTATTGATAGCACTTCCCCATGGAAAGTTAAGCACAATCTTGTTTCTTTAAACACATTATCTGCATTTTTCCAGATGGAATAGCTAGAACAAAGGTAAGATATGGTTGAATTATATGAAATGTTTAGGAAATGACCCTAGTAGAATGTTCATAGGGGTTTAGAGGTGGAGTTTCATTGTTAGTTGAGCATTTAGCAGAAATCAGTTGGCATTTGTCACTGGAAAGATAAGAAGAAACTCTGATTTCTGGTCTCAAAAAGCATCTTTGGTTTCTGCCAATCTCTTAACTTACCCCTGGGCCTTTATTTTCATCAGAATTTGAAGAAATAGGCTTGGTACTTAGCATTTCGTTAATTTGGTGAGTTCATTGTACTGTCATCCCTGGGCTATTAAATAGTTCAGAAATAAAAATTGCATCACTTGTTGAATATGTAACATGCATCTCATTCAAGCTGCATTTTCTAACAAAGGGCAATTAGTATGAACATAATACTTTGAAACTCTTTCAGAATAGCTTTAAGTAATAAATAAAATACATAACTAAGCTCAATGGGCAGGAGAAAAATAATTTCCAGTTTCCCATTGAACAGTGTACAGTAAGGAAGACAAACGTGTACATCGTACATATGTGTGTGTGTTTGGAATAGACATGTCTAATGACAGGAATATTTAAAATGACTAAACTTCAGGCTGTATACTGAGCCAGTCTAAGGTTTCAGAAATATCTAGGGCCGGCTCCTAATCTCTGAACTTTTATCCAAAGACAGAGGAAGCTGTGAAGGTCGGGGCCCCAAGAACATTCTTGTCCTGGGAGGCAAGGCTTGCATGAGATCATGGGGCTTTCCACCCTTACTGACCGCCAGGCTTGGCAACCAACAGGCTGCTCCTCCAGGAGAGGATTTATTTTGAAATAAAGCTCTAAGTGGAGGTCACTGTCTCATGGGTCACTCCTATCTTGAGGTTCGATGCATAGGACGGGTGGGATCGGTGTACAGATCCAGCTCTTTTCCAAGTAGGTGTTGCACTACATACAGCACAGAGCTGATCTCCGGGGAGAGGCGCTGAGTAGATGCTTCCTGGGCAAGTAGTGGTGAGGGGTGATCCCACTGTCTTCCCTAACCCTGAGAAAGGTGTGTCAAACCACGAGGCGATGTGAATATGGGAAGAGGAGGAATTGGTTCCCTGGTCTCCTTTGAGAAAGGCGACCTCAATTCCTGGCCGTCTCTCTGCCTTGCCCACATTCAGGGTCAGACCCATCTCAGTCCATACTGTTTCCGCTGTCCCCTGGGCCGCCATCCAACCTGCCCCCATCACCGGACAACTCCCAGGAACTGGGAGGGCTTGGGTTTTGAGTCAAGCCAGATCACTGCAGCTCGAGAAGAGGAGGAAGACCCGGGGCGCAGCCTCGGTGGGTGCGCCGGGCCAAGAAGGGCGGGGGGTGCGGGGGGCGGGGCGCGCGGAGCCGGAGAAGGAGGGAGAAGGGAGGGTGTGTGAGCGACTGAGACACAAGAAAAGGGAGCGCGCCCGCCGCCGCCGCCGCCCTCCTCCGGAGAGAGGCTGGAGTGAGGCTGTGCGAAGCGCCGCATCTCAATGAGGACCCGCCGAGGCACATCTCTGCACTAGTGGCCGCAGCCCCGAAGCCCGCGCTCCCGCAGCTGCTGCCGCCCAGCCCGGCAGCCCCGCAGCCCCGGCCGCGCCCAGCCGGGCGAGGACAGTTCCAGCAGACCGCCCCGAGCCTGGCCCCAGACAGCCCAGCGGCGACTCTCTGCGGACAGGTGCGTGCTCGCCCTGGGCTGGGAAGGGAGCTGCGGGCAGGGCCGCCGGGGCCCGCAGTGCTGTCCTCACGCAGCCACTGGCGCCCGGGCCAGGGCTGACTCTCGGCTCCTCTGCAGCTGCCCCGCCCGCGGTTCCTCGAAAGGCGGCTGCCCGCTGCTGGCCAGCCTGGCCTGGGCCAGGCGTTGTGTGCCGGCCGCCGCAGGGCTGCTGGCCCCGGGTTCTTTTGTCTGGTGCCATCGGGCTTTAAACAGGGAGTCGGGCAAGCGCGGCCCGCCAGGCTTTTCATCGCGTTGTTGTTGGAGATGGAGCTAGGGTGGAGGAGCTGGGAGAGGTGTCGCTTGTCATTGTCAAGACCGGCTGCAGAGCCAGGACCAAGTCCGTGTGAAAGGAGTGGCTCGGCCTCGCTTCTTATTGTGTGTGTGCTTTCCTGAGTGCCCGGGAGGGTGGCATGTGCTTGGTGGTGGGGGCGCCTGGTGGGTGGTGGTGGCTGCAGTGTGCATGTTGCAAGTACCTTTGCAGGGTCTCGAGTTCCTCTGGGGACAGGGAGGCAGGCAGCCTCATGTACAAATTAGTACCTGCAGTGTTAAAAGCATGCAGAGAGGAAAAGGCATTTTCCTCCTAGTGCGAGCGCACGCACAGTCCCGCGTGCCCCACAAAAGAGGCTGCTTTTGAAAACCAGCTTTGCGCGGCATCACTGTTGGATTTGGCAAGGAAATGCTTGTCGGTGAGAGAGCAAAGAAAGGTTTCATTCAAACCACCTCCCTCTCGGCTGCACCTGTGAACGTGTGTCCAGGTTACGGTGCACACTCGCTAGCTGCAACACTGCAGGGTGTTTGGAGGAAAACGTGTCATGACTGTTCCTATACAGATCATCTTTCAATGGGAAGGCAAAGTAGGGCAGTGTTTTAGATATGAAATGTCACATGGATGCAGGTTAGAAGGGATTTCAAGAGAGGTCATATGCAGGAAAGATGTTCACTCCCTGTGATATGCACGCGTAGGGTGGTGCTCCCTCAGAAGGAATGTGTGTCCTTTATTCCATGTCCCATCATCCACCTGAACCACTATTAAAATATGCCTCGGAATTGTGAGATGTGGTGCCTATTTAGATGTCATAGCTACTGGATTCATGTGTGTGTGTGTGTGTGTGTGTGTGTGTGTGTGTGTGTATACGTTTATAAATGGCTGGAACAGGAGTCCATGTGCTCACACATAGAGAGCAGGATGAACATAGAGATTCTTCAAAATGGTGAGAAATCCCACAAAGAACAGCAGAGAATGTTGGTTTCCTGGCATGGCAGTATTTATAGGAAAATCTTTGATTAGAGTCAGCCCTCCTCCTTCCCCTCTGTGGTTTGCGGTCTCTGTGGCTGAGGGCTGTGGTAGCCCTCTTGGTGCCAGTGCACATGTGGCTCCAGACCTTTAGCCACCCATGGTCCTGTGCGTGTTCTAGCAGTCTTCCTCTGCAGGAAGTGACCTTCAGAAGCTCAGAGAATCTTCTTCCAGAGCTCTTGGTTCCCATGTATGACTAAGTCTGCTTAAAGCTGAGCCAAGGGAGGCAAGGAGGGCACACCTGTTTTGATGCCGCACATGAGTACCAGAAGAATAGCAAGTGCTGGGTGGGTGCTTTTCGACCTTCACTTAGTGAACACTGTGGCCTTGACAGTGATTTCACTTTGAGTGTAGTTTTGCTTTGTTGACAACATCATTCATTACCTGCTCAGTGAAGGGAAGCAGAAGATGTGGTCTCTGTCCTGGATGAATTCGTGATTACAACAAATTTTAAATTGGTTGTCTTTTCATTTAGTGTGGATTCTTGTTCCTAAAAGTATTTTCTCTGTAGGAAGTTCAAACAACTGCCAAAATTTTTGGGTTTTGCCATCTGTGACTCACTGAAGACCCTTTGGAAATGGATTCACACTGTCTCTGGTCACTTAATTGTGCCGTCCTTTGTTAGATCCTTCCTTATTTTCTTCCTGTTTATATCAACTTGAGGGGAAGTCCCTAGGAATGGGAGAATGGCCACTGCCTGTAAAAAGAAAACAACCCCCTTCAAAAGCCAACATGGCCCTTATCACTTACAAAGTTTTAAGAGGTTAGTGATCAGACTTGAACACAGCAGTCTCCTCCACCTCCACCCTCAATCCATGCACCTTTTGGAAGACAGCTCACTTAACATTATATAAACAAAGTAGGAACAGATACTGATATTTTAGGCAGAATATTTGTTCTGTTACAAAGCTAATGCTTTTAGGATTAGATATGCAGTGATAACTGTATTGAAGCTATCTGACTTCAGAAATCAACAAAACCATTTTACAACTGGTAAAACTTCCATAAAAGTATGAAATTAGATAAGGATTATTTATAAGGCACAAGAAGCAGTGTTTACATTTGGAGGGAAAATACACTGAACTCAAATTCAAGGTTTTAGTCACACTGTACTCCCCTAGGCCTCTCAGTGGGCTCAGCAACAGAAGAGCTCCTGGCTGGTTAGGTATCACTCTCAAGGTCACTGAGCTAGGTAGGTGCAAGGGATTTAAAACCCATGTTTCCCACACCAACAACAACCTAGGCTCACAGGGCTAGGGACCAACAGTGCCATCTTTGGAATCAGGGTAAATCAGAGTTGAAATTATAACTCCCTCAGTTATAACTTGGGGACTCTAGATAAATCCCATGCTCAAACCTAGTTCTGATAAGATTACCCTACTGGAGTCATGTAAGTTTTAAAAGAGGTCTTTGTTGTATCTCCTAGCATATGATATAACCCATTACTGGGTTCTAGAGCTGGCTATATTCTGGATACAAATATTGTTTTCTTTTGCTTCATTCATTTCAGGAGTACTAGATCTCTAGCTATGCTTTGAGCATGACTTTTCTTATTGCAATTTAAAATTAACTAATTAGCTAGTTAATTTTGCATTTTTGAGGTAGAGTCTCACATAGTCCAGGTTAGCTTGAACTTGCTATATAGCTGACGCTGGCCTTGAACTCATGATTCTCTTGACTCCACCTCCCAGGTGTTGGGATTATAGATGTGTTCCACCATGCCCAGTTTATCATAAAATTTTAATTAAATTGATTTATTCAACTGATATGTAAACTTTTACTCATTCTGAATGGCTTGGGGTCAGTTTACTGAAGGTGAAGGAGAGGTCGGAGACTAAGCAATAGTGTGGTTGAGTTTTGACTCACCTCCACATAGGCGACTTGGGGAGTGCTTGGAAGGTTCGTTCTTTCTTCAGATTTTTCCATTTTCACATATATTATATTTCAGTATGCCTGGAATTTTATCATTAAAATTTGTCCTTTGAATGCTGAGGTTTTTCTACTTTGCAGATTGTCCTGTTAATACATTATTCCCCCTACAAGAATGGCAATTCTTTATTAGTTTAACCTCACACAAGGATGGCTTTATCCTAGAAGCAGCTTTCTGGCAACAAGCCTCCATAGGAAGTAGAAATGGGGACCATGGAAGTACAGGAATCCCTTCCAGGGGCTCATGAGACAGCAATCATGAGGAGGATGTCAGGTCTCCTCCCTTGCCAGAAGGAGGTGGGGGGGCGCTCTGTTCCTGCTAGTTCTTTTGGTACTGGGGTCAGGAATAGAAGGCAGATTTTATTTTAAAGACTAATGCTTGTCACATGCAAGGTACTCTCCTAAATGTGTTAATAGGTAATATTAACGATGAGATAGGTACTGTTTTATTCCTATTTGCATTTAAGTCTTATAGATGTCAAGTAGATTTCTCAAGGTTATGTAGCTAATATTGGGTTAAGTCTGTGTAGCTAATATTGGATTAAGTCTGTTCAACTGCTTCAAGTCTTGATTCCCTCAACCACAAAGATGGAGAGGCCCTTAGGTGGAAAGGAGGACAAAGCCACCAAGTAAATACAGTTCCCTTCTTCCTCCCACATCTCCTTTTCTTCCCTTTCCTCTTCCTCTTTCTGCTCTCCTGACCTTCTGTCATCTCTTTTTAACCCAGTTTATTTGAAGCACTACATGCAAGCAAATGAGTTAAGGTGAATTCATTTTTTAACATATGGAATACACACATATGTTTGAGAGTCTTCCTTAAGTAAGTAGAACCTACGATTGATTTAATTGGCTCTCCATCTGGCCATAGAGAGCACATACACTGAGCAAAACTTCCACAGTCTGACTGCTAAATACTACCTGCCCTCATTTTTTTTTTCTGGCCCAACACTTATCTTTATTTGCTTAAGTATATGAAAGCTCATTTTGTACATGCTGCAGGGATTGGCAAACTACCTGGGAGGAGTGCATGGTGAACCTCACAGTCAGGCAAAAGTCTGGTGTGGGATGAGGGATCCCTGGTTCGAACATCTTTCAACTGTTACTTGAAGGACTTCAGGAGAAAATCTTCCACACCAATTTCTCCACCTATAAATAGGAGGGGTAATACTTTGGGAGGATATGACTGCAGCCAGAGAGGTGGTAGGCACACAATAGTAAAAGCTGTATCTAAACAAACTGTGGTTGAGTCATGAGCTGTTTCCACTGGGATATGTCTCTTCCATTTCTTTCTTATCCTCCTCCTCTTTCTCTCCCACTCCACAACTCAAACGCATCATCAGTTATGACAGTATTTCCACCCAGATGCTCTGGATGTCTTCCAATTCACACTCTTCAAGTAACCTGCTACTGTGTGTCTCTTTCTGGTACTCGCAGGTTCCACGCGCACCCAGTCATGTCCTTCGGCCGAGACATGGAGTTGGAGCACTTTGACGAGCGGGACAAGGCGCAAAGGTACAGCAGGGGGTCGCGGGTGAATGGCCTGCCGAGCCCCACGCACAGCGCCCACTGCAGCTTCTACCGCACCCGCACGCTGCAGACACTCAGCTCTGAGAAGAAGGCCAAGAAGGTTCGCTTCTATCGAAACGGAGACCGTTACTTCAAAGGGATTGTGTATGCCATCTCTCCAGACCGCTTCCGCTCCTTCGAGGCCCTGCTGGCTGATTTGACCCGAACTCTCTCGGATAACGTGAATTTGCCCCAGGGAGTGAGAACCATCTACACCATTGATGGACTCAAGAAGATCTCCAGCCTGGACCAGCTGGTGGAAGGTGAGTCCATGAGACCTCTTCAGGACCCTTCAGGGCTCCACTCAGCGTCACTGGCTGTCAGCTTGTGGCTGGACGCTTACTGTTTAATGTGTTTCCTGAATTGCATTTTAAAAACAAAAGAAAGTGAATGGTATTCAGCCGGGGAGCCCAGTGATAATGATAAGCAGGGAAAAATTTGTTAAATCCCACATCTTCTGTTTTCTTTCTCACACTCATGCACATTAATCTTAAAAGCCTACTTTTTGTCTTCCTTCAGTTCAGATGCAAATTGAACTTTTAGTACTTTTGCTATCGTGATGTCCAGAAGTCCTTGAACCGAGAATGATGAATGGATCATGAAATTTTAGAGTTGAGAGGAACTGTTCCGAGTTTTGATAGTTATTAAACCCATTAATCTTATCACTGGGGACTGGGGACCAGAAAATTCAGTGTTTGTGGTTACAGGGTAAGTTAGTGGCGACTGCTGAACCAAAAATGAGGTTCTCTGACAACTCTTTCCACTGGGTACCTCCTGTGAAGGGTTATTGTCTTCCTATGACTTTTGGGAATATCAAAGAACTAATCTGTTAAGATTATTTTAAAATCCAGTTTATGTTAATGGTAATTAACTGTTGTAACCATTTAATGTGAAAATAGAATTGTTTGGATCCACGGATTAAACTGGTATCTTATGCAGGACACATCACCCTCTTATTTGTGTTTGCCTTGGCTCAACTCCATTTGAAAATGGCAAAAAGCCTCTCGTTGCCTTAGAAATCGCAGCCAAATTCGGTGACTCCGAATGAAATAACTGGTCTGAATGTGCTAAGATCCTTTTGGAGAGGAGGTCTTTCTGAGCTTGAAGGTGAAGATGAAGCAGGCGACAGAAAGTCATCAGACCAATTGTTGGAAGAGACTGATGCCACTCGAGTTCATCTTTTCCCCCAGCAATGCTTGGCCAGGTCCTGCTGTCCAGCTGAGTCCTGGCTTGTATGGGTAGCGGAAGCATCCCTTCCTACACTGTTGGAGTTCAGGATTACTGTCAGCCAGTTGCAGAAGGGCAACTGGCCTTGTGTGTGATTCAGCCTGAATACCTCTTCCTCTGCCTTCCCCTTGTCCCTTGGCAGGACTGCCAGTCCAAGCACAGTGTGACTGGATGAGGTGAGGGAGTGAGGAGGAGCCTGGGCTTCATGTGTTTTCTTTGCGGGAATTCACATCTCTTCAGTGGCTTGTCACCTTGCCAAGATGCCTGTAGTCTTGGCTTTTTCCCTTTTATTCAGAGGTTGGAACTTCCAGCAAATTAAAGGGAAAGAGTGACATGAAGTTTCTCTGTGTCAACTTTGATTTTTATGTCCTGTCCTTTGTACGGCCTTGGAAAATACAAGGGAAAATAAAATATTTGGTGGCATTTGTCCAAGGGATTTGTACCAAGATCATATGAGTCAGGTACTTGACCAGTCGCCAAACCATCCTGTGTGGGGTGATGAGACTGTGGGAAAGTATGCTCAGATCTCAAAACATGCCCTTAGACAGCTGGGGGACTGACCCCCTCATTCTGCTCTAGAGCCACTTGTGTGGCATCTTGAAAACTGGGGTACTTGTACTTCCCACCCAAAATATATCTTGACCCATCATTGCTATCTGAAAGAATGACCATGAGAAACGGCTGATGGCTACACTGCCTTCATAACTAGAGACCAGCAAAAACTTGACTGGTTAGCACCACTTCCCCTCCACACACCCATTCTTACCACACTATAATACCTGCCCTGAGATATTGCTGTCTTGGTTGAAGGCAGTTATGATGGCTCAAGTTAACTGAGTATGTGTGGAGCCCTGGTCTGAGTTCCCTTGGGTGTATGAGTTCATGCGGTTTTCACAGTGATCCTAAAGGGAAGGTGCTGTTGTCCTCTTACAACGAGAAAGCTGAGTACAGTATGGGTGAGGTGGGATTTGAACCCAGGAAGGCAGGCACTAGAACTGGATTGTAACTGCTAAGATGCAATCTTAAGTTTGCGGTAGTATGCTGGACTGTCCTTTGGTCTTGTGGGATGGCAGACATTTTAGTGGAACTTTAACTAGTTGTTCCTATTCTATTGCTCTTAGTCAATTTAAATGAAATACTTGTGGTTTTATTCTGGATTTAATTCCAGAAATGAAAGATGCTGATCTGAGAAACACAGTTATCTTTTAATTTGTCCCAATCCTCCCCCCGCCAATCAACGTAAAGTAATTGCTGATTGAATATTCTAGTGTCTAAAATTGGGTTCTATTCTTTTGAAAAATATACCTCTTTCTTCTGGTTGAATAACTGGTACCGTGTGTAGGGTCACATATTTAGATTTGAGTTTTCGGTTTAAACAGATTTTTTTCCCAATTCATAATACTGACAATTAACGTGCAGCTGGGCTTAGTATTTAAGTAGCTGGAAACTCATTTAGATTGGCTTCTTTGTCTATTGCATTTTTGCTTAGTCTGTTAAAATGCAAACCGTTGCCTCATACTCGGTAGGCTGATATCTCTTACTTTACATATTAATTTTATGTAAACGTCAGTGCATGTTATTAGATTTCCATTTCTTCTTCCAATGTGACAATGTTTGAGTTTTAAATTAAATCCTTTTAGTTGATGCAGTGACAAATGTATTTGGCTTGTAATTTTTTTTTTAAAGTTTGTTCTTTCTCACTTATCTCAGGCTAAAAATTCTGAGTTACAATAACATATGCGAGCCTCTTTATTTATGTCTTACAGACACTTTCTCTGTTTTATTATTATACACTGATTATTATGCATGTGTGCTTGAAGCACATTGATAGATCTGGCTCTGAGCCCGAATTATGTAATGAGTGAGCGTGTGTCTAGATGACTGTATGTGTCTGTGTATGTATCTATGTGTGGGTATGTACACACATACATACACGCATGTACTTAAGAATGTATCAAAGGTAATAGTCTCAATTATTTGATTTCAAGATGAGCTTAATATATTTTAGTAAATCATGATGCTTACTAAGGACAGCTGTACTGCACACGTGTTTCTGCAGTGACTCAGCCTGGGATGTGGCCTCCTTTCCCCAGTCTCGAATCATTTCTATTCTACTTTAGGGATACATGTGTTGTAGATAAATGAAGGTTTCACACCTAAATCCTTCAGACTCTTAGCTGAGAGATGACTTGCTGATTCCCTTTCCTTATTTAGTTTACATCCACGAAGGTGTGGGTGAGAGGGGCCAGAGCCTTTCCATATTGGGATAAAAATGGCACAGACACTGAGTCCCTGGATATTATTATGTTATTGTATTCCTCAGGTCATCACTATTAGAAACAGTCACATCCTCCCTCTTCCTCAGTTCCCACATGTCTTGGCCTCTCACCGGCCATTGAGGAAGTTGCCTGACTCCATAGCTGTAGTGTGAGGCTTTGTCTAAGTCCCTATCAGAAGTCACCTCTCAGAAGACAACCACATTTTCCCTGCAGTTAAGGGCTCTCTCCCCTGTTGTGTCTCCTGCTTGCTCGACTTTCAGGACAGTTTCTTTTTCCCTTGCTGTGGCATCTGCTTTATCTAGCTTGTTCTTCCTTTGGGTCTCTCTTTGATATGCCAAAATTTTAAAAAACTAATTTCTGAAGTTCTATGAAAGTCTCCAGAGGCAACAAATGTAGTAGTACTTTTAAGTCTCTTCTCAGCAGTACCAAAACATATTAAATACATATAGTCTGCCCAGAAGATAACTTAAAATGCTCACAGTTCTGCATCTTGCTTTTAACAAAGCATTATGAGCTTGGAGTCCTTTTCATATCAGTAACATCTAGAGCAACTATGTCCTTTTGATGACTTCATTGGATGCTTTATATGCATATACTTTATTTTACCAGCCTTCTGTTGGTGGGGTTTAGGATGTGTGTAACCCTTTGTTGTTGCAAATAATTTTGTAATGAGTATACTTGGATATATACTTGGATACTTGTCTTCCATTCACATAGATGGATAGCTTGAGGATAAATTCTAGGGGTAAAATTGGTGGATGGAGATCTAAGATTAAGATCTAAACTCTTAAGATAATTGCAAGAATCCTATCCATAAAGGTGGTTCCATCATGGCTGTTTGCTCATCACCTGGCTTCTGTAATGGAAGAGCTCCTAGTCTAGCACACTGACCAGACATACTGAATGGAATAGCAGTGGTGCTGGAGAATTGATTTGAGTTTCATTAGTTTGCTCACAGATGTTGGGAGTGCTGGTGTTGTTCTGGGAGTAGGCTTTGCATCTAGCTGTCATGGCTCTGTCCGTTCCTCCAAGCCGTGGCTGTTCTTCCTTCTTTCTCTGTCTTAAACGATGGTGAGCATTTTGAATACTGATCAGTGTTTGGTAGAATGCATCTCTGGGTGCATCTGCTGGTTAGCTTGGTATTGAGCATTTTTGACAAGGATTCCATAGAAGTTTATATCCTCCTAAGGGCATCATTTCAGAAGTTTGCGAGGTCCATATGTCTTTCTCCTGGTGACATGAAGTCAGCTAGTTAAGGTGGTTCTGTCTGGTGTCTTTATTCCAAAGTTACTGTGCCCCCTGTAATTAATGAGTATATGGGGGAGAAATTTTTAGTCATTGTAAATATGTGATTCCTCCTCAATCTGCAGTGATTTTGCTGTTCTGTTCTGTTTGTGTCTTCCCTAGTTCCCTCTCCACTTGCCACACTTCAAACATGGTACCCTCCACTTTCCTGTCTTTAGACCATTTTCTGTGATCTCACCAGTTCCCTTTATTGTAAGGCCACTCTTAAATAATGACCTGTCTTCTCAAATCAGACCTTTCCTCTCCACTCCAGCCCCCTGTATGTGTTCAGCTGAGACTAACCTTAGTCTCCTCAAACTCAACATATGTAAATGTGAACTTTTCTTTGCCACTGTCTAGAACTGTTTCTCTTCACCTGTTTCAGATCTTACTAAATAGTGTCACCACCTGCTAGGGTCCTAATATTTGTGATCTCCAAAAGTTTGTACTTTGGGGGGCTGGAGAACACTGTT